TCGATCGCTTATTTCTGGGTTCATAGTGAATCAATTTGACTGAAATTTTCAGCAAATTGCCTTTACATTATCTAGTTTTTAATTATTTTAGTGCGAACTGCCAACTTGTTATCTAATCTCCCATAATGTATCTTTAAATAAATAAATAAATAAATAAATAAATAAATATTATCTACATTAATAGAGAGTGACATTGTAAAATAAAGATATCTGTTAAAAGATGAAATAAAAATGATGATAGTATATAAAGATAAGTATATTGAGTATTAACCTGATATGACAATCTAATCTATTTAATAACAAGTCTACCTACACCTAGATGTAAATCCTGGTGCATCCAGTACATATAGTAACAACAGTCATCAACAAGGTAAGGTATGCATTCAGTACAAATATCAACAACTGGGTATGCTGACTGTTAATTAGAAGTCCTGTTAGCACTTTAAAGAGGGAGAGAGAGAGAGAGAGAGAGAGAGAGGTCCACTTGACACATCATTTTTCTTGGCATGTTTCATACTACAAATATAGAACTTAGAAGTGAGAGAGAGAGAGAGAGAGAGAGAGAGAGAGAGAGATGGGCTTAATGTCCACTCCACACAAACTAGGTCATTTCATGACTAACATATATTTTATTTCAATAATTTGCTTACGCATAGGTTTTTTTTAGCAATGGGAGGAAACCGGAGAACCCGGAGGAAACCCACCTGGTTGGACAGGCAACCCTACTCCTTTGTCAGGTACAACCGTCAGTTGACTCAATGACAGACCTTATGATACAACGCGAACACGCTAACCATTCGGCCATCCAACCCCCCGACAGCACTTTAAAAGATAATACAACACAGACGTAAATTCTGGTGCATCCATCGATCTATGTTGTTCCTTATGTAATAAGTCACCTTTTTGTTGTCAACGAAAATTTGATGACGGGCCTGTTTTAAGTCTAATTGAATCCAAGCCAGGAGATTAACTAGCGTTAGTATTTTGATTTACTTAATTAAATGTTAAATAATCATTCTAACTACATATTAGTAAGCCATGAGACATTTGATATTTTAGCGAAAAATAGCCAAAAATCCATTGTTACTTTAAATTATCAAATGGTGCGCATGGTCTAATCCATTCAGTCATCCTATGGTCTAGTCCATTCAATATCATGGTCATCTGATGCACATGTGTTCTAACCCATTCATTATCACGGCCATCTGATGAACATGTGTTAGGGTGGCCCATGTACTCACAGAAATACAGTCCACCGCTGATAGTTCGAGACTACCACTGAAGCGTGCACATTCGCCGTGCCGAGACCAACTTTCTGACAGTATGATACTATAAATAGCCATGGCACGTGCAATTCTCTACAAATTTATCAACTATTACAGCCGTAAAAAATTTATTGTTGACGATTTTGAATAGCAGTAAAATTAAGCTTCTTGGTTATTACAGCAGATTTAGAAATTACGTTCGTTTCATTTTTTAAATCGCTTTATCATTAACTGTACCGTTAAGAGCGGCATCTTTTGGTTTAGTACAAATAATATCTCTGAAACACTCAGGTTAGGCAAGAACATGATACTAGCAGTAGTTTCATTTTACTTTTACAAGCTTCTTAAAACGATTGTTGAGCTACCTAACGTGCTTATTTCTAAATTCAATTTCTTGTTCTAGCTTTCTGTTATGTTTCGTAAAAAAGTAGTCTTGATTATCCCGACCTGTCAATCAGACGTAGAATGGTCGATAGACTGGTTAAGCGAGACTAATTTCAAAACAAGGGCACGTAACCTATCTTTTACTCAAAAGTGTCTGGATGTTATGGACGACTCTTGGAACCAGTTTTCAGTCTATTATTTATACGTGATTAATGGCCATAGCTTATTAAGTACAACATGATCGTTTATTTAGTGACTATAATTGTGTGGAACTGATTTGAGGCTTGGCATATATATAAGTATTGTGGCGTAATTGTCGAGATATATGGAGATATTTATTTATGGTGGGTCACCCTACATGTGTTCTAACCCATTCAATATCACAGCCATCAGATGGTCATGTGTTCGAATCCATTCAATATCATGGCCATCCGACTGTCATGTGAATAAATGTCTAAAATTTATATAACATTTGAAGCCAAAAAAAAGACCTGCAATGGGCAGATTTAGATCTTACTTAACCCTTTCACTGCGTATACCCGGTAGTACCGGGTATTATAAAATGTCGGTAAAATGCCCGTACCCGGTATTACCGTGTACTCAGTAAAGCCCTCGCTAAAATTAGTACCGTAACTGCAAGTGCCATCTATTGTATTTTCTATACACTAGAACATATTTCCACGTGTTGCAAAGCAGCAAACCGTAAAATGGCGGAGTGCATTGTGACAACGTAGACGATGCACTCTCGACGAAGTCGTGAATGACGTCTTGCTGACCAACATGTGGACAATTTCGAGGCGGGTGATACACATAATTCGTTTCCAGTTACTTGATAATGATAGTAGTCAGGACAGTGATTGGTATTATGAAGTGTGTGATTTGTTGCGCGACGTTCCGCCCATGGCTAGCTATGTCTCCCGTGCATGATGAACAAGCCCAATGTGAACACGATAGCCCTGTGTCTGCAGTAGATTCTGACAATAATTCTGATGTTGATAATAATGCTGGCCTGCTGGATCGTAAAATACGTAGGTAATTCCTGATTCCCGAACGTGTAGATCTATTGACTGACTATATTGATAATGATATGGGACTTGGGGATGAAAGTGAAAGTGAAAGTAAAAACAAGGTTTTGCAATCCGCACGTGGTCATGGCAGCGGGAGACGTGATGCGCGTGTTCGCGGCGGCATTGCTCATGGCTGCTATTGATATTTTTGTTCATTTTATATATCTTTATCAAAATCCAGTAAAAAAAACAATATCTTTGAAGTATTTCATGGAGAAAAATTCGTTTTCGTGTTAGCTTTAGTGTGAAATGAGAAATCCAAAATGGCCGCCATGACGTCACGTGACTACATTATTATGCAAATTTCCAAAATTCTATTTTTTCCTCTTAGCCCAACCTCATGCCCATCCCAACAGACAAAAAGATTTTTCATAAAAGCTTCCATAAGTACTGCTTGGCATTCAGTTCCAACCTCCCTTTTTTCCTCAAAAAAGGGTCTAGCACAGGCAGTGGATTTACGTCTAGCATTGAAAGGGTTAATGCATCTTTAAGGTCAAAAGTTGAAAAGCAAAAGAGGGTGAAAATCGTGTCGGATGTAAGTTAAATGGTTTTATCCTGTTCAAATTATATACAGATGATCCTTAAATCAGAGTGAATTGGACCAAAAAATGGATTGTGCATAAAGAGAAATAGATATGGGGTTTAACATTCACTGTGAAAGTTGAGAGAGAGAGAGAGAGAGAGAGAGAGAGGGTTTAACTTCACTCCACACAAACTAGGTCATTTTGGGACTAACATATGGTTCCATTTTATTTCAATAATTCGGTAGCACATAGGGGTCTTTAGCAGTGAGAGGAAATGGGAGGACCCAGAGGAAACCCACGAGGTTGGATAGGCGACCCTACTCCTTGTGAAGTACAAGCAGGGATACGAAACCACACCACTTGACTCAGTGACAGACTTTATGATCTAACATGCACACATTACACCGTTTGGCCACCCAACACGCTCAGTCTAGCTGCTAATTATTTAAACTGTCCTTTGATACTGATAACTACTATTCTATATTCTCTCATCATCATTTGAATGATTTTGAATTGCTGAATCTCAGAAATGAAATGAAATGAAATGAACGTCCTACTGTTCTGCTCCTATACTGGGCTAATGAAGACGGGCATCCGCCATACAGTGTGCTATGATGGAAATTTTGCCCGGGCAACGGCACTATTGCCTACTCTTATATCGAATTCCAACTGCCAGGGGATCTTTTACGTGCATTCCAATGTTACACGGGACCTCAGTTTTTCGTCTCATCCGAAGGACTAGACAGCTGTCCTTGTCAGGCCCTCTGTCCTGCATCACTGACAAGGGGGAACCATGCCGAAAAATCTGAATGAACTTTCTCAGCCAATGCAGGGATCGAACACCCAACCTCCAGGCTAGCGAGTCAGCAACTTACCCACTTAGCCACCGTGATCCCCATCTCAGAAAGGAATATCAGTCCAAAAATGGTTTGATTATGTTTAGTATATAGACATAATGAATCTCTTCTAAACAACTTTATTATACATGCTAAATCTTTGAAAGGAATAACAGTCTCAAAATGGTTCAATTATGTTCTGTATATAATAGACAGAATGAATTTCAGCATTTTCATCCTCTGAAGAAAGCGTCACCTATTACTAACTGTTGGGTAAAATCAAACTGAGTACATTTTAACTTGGATCACGTTGCGGACAAATAAATATATTTCAAAAACACAAATAATGATTAGGTTTTAAAGATGCATTATGTAAGATTTAGATAAAGAGCTGGCAGTTCTTGCTATAATAGTTCAAATATAGATAATGCAAAATGAATATGTATTTTATTTACTTTATTCCGAGTCAAGTTATCACTGTTTGTAGTTTTGACAAGATTTTTGTATTGATTGTGTATTATCATAACCAAAGTACTGGTATATTTTTAAATTAAATCAATAAATGGCCGAATCATTCTAATCTAGTTAAAATCTTGAGTATCCGATGGCATTGAGAGTTAATTATGGTCTTGTCATGTTAATAAATGTCAAATTAATAATTTATATAACATTTAAGTCATAAGAAAGACCTGCAATGGTCTTGTCATATTAATAAATGTCAAATTAATAGTTTATATAATATTTAAGTCATAAAGAAAGACCTGCAATGGAAATGAAATGTAATGGGGTTTAACACCCTACTGTTCTGCTCTGACTGGGCTAATGAAGATGGGTCCTGCAATGGGTAGATTTAGCTCTTGAATAATATATCTTTAACACAGGATTCTATAAATTTAAAAAACAAAATAATATACCCATACTTACCAATAAAATCTTTTGTATCATTGACATCTCTGGATTTTGTGGTGATTCAAATCATTTCACAAAAAACATATTGTATTAGATAATGTATTGAATTAAAGACAAAAATGCAACATTCCTCTATAATAAAACTCTGCACACTGACATCTTCAGAACATTATGGCTATATTGAGTGCATTTAAATTATTTTTTTAAAACCAACTTTCATTTGTGGTGAGACAAATTAAATCGTCAATAAATCTGTGGTATCAATCAAAGAATAAAATAATAAAACTCTGAACATTGGCATCCTCAGAACACGACAGTTACATTGAATCAATTTGTCGTGAGTCAGATTATTTTAAAATGTTGTCAATTAGTCATTAAATGAACACCACACCCCAATAACTATTGACAAAGAGGATGTGGTTTGAGCAATAGAAAACATCTCCCCCCTTTCCTAATTGTATGACTTAACATTGTTTTATTACAATGTGTTTTTCAACTTCCCTGTTCAAATATCATTAACACTGTAAGTTAATGGTATAACCATTGTATACTATTCAAAAAAAGTAGGGGATATTTGATTTTTAAGTGTTATTAAAGTCACCTAATGAAACTGACGAAGAAACAAATGACAAAATGAAATGAAGTTCACATTCATCGATTTATTCCAAATGATCGTTAGACTAAGTAAGGCACAGACTGACCATTATAAGGGTAAAATGATACCCGGGGTCAAACAGCAAAGTTACCACAGCATCACAACCAAGTCAGTAACGGGTAAATCCTCCTCTGTTTGCCAAACAAGCATTGATCCGACGTGGCATACTCCTAATGAGACGTCTAAGGTCATTTTGGTCCAGATTGTCCCATTCCTGTTGCAACGCAGCAGCAAGTTCTTGGACATTGGCAGGACGTTGTTGACGTTGACGTAACCTCTGTCCAAGCATGTCCCAGACATGCTCGATGGGGGAGAGGTCGGGACTCAGTGCTGGCCAAGGTAATGTGGTGATGTTCTGTTGTTGGAGGTAACCTGTAACGATCCTGGCCCTGTGACATCTTGCGTTGTCATCCTGGAAGATGAAACGGCGGCCATGACGTCGTGCGAACGGCACAACATGGACTGCCAAGATGTTGTCCCGGTAGTACTGGCCTGTAACACGCCCTGCAACAACATGTAAAGCCGTTCTTCCAGCAACAGTGATGCCTCCCCACACCATAACAGAACCACCCCCAAATCGATCATGTCTCATGACGTTAACGTCTTGGAAGCGCTCGTTTCGACGACGCCACACCCTCCTACGTCTGTCCAAAAAATCAACAGTGAACCTTGACTCATCTGAAAACATCACATTGCTCCAGCGTCGATTATCCCAGTGTTGACGATCCCTACACCAACGACGTCTTGCCTGAATGTGATGATCTCTCAAACAAGGGATCACGCGAGGACGTCGGGCGCGAAGGTGACCCCTATGCAGTCGATTCCGAATCGTCTGGCCACTCACTCTCACACCAGTGTCTGTTTGAAGACGAGCGCTGATCTGATTTGCTGTGATGACACGATTTCTCAAGGCCAAGGTACGGATAAATCGATCCTGGGCTTGAGTTGTCGCCCTTGGTCGACCTGAGCGTGGTCTGTCCTGTACAGATTGTGTATCACGGTATCTGGACCATAGCCTGCTTATGACAGACTGAGAAACATTCATCGTCCGCGCCACAACCGCCTGTGTTGTGCCGATCTGTAGCATGCCAAGGGCACGTAACCTTTCATTTTGGGTAAGCCGACGCATATCAAAATTTGTTTTCTGGTCACTAAAACAATTAAACTGATGTTTCCACCCTGGAATTCAATGCCACAATGACTGTAACATTCAAAGTCAGAGTCGTGCAAATCTTGGGTTGGACCCCCATGATGATCCCAAGCATCACCTGCATTCCATGCGGTAGCTATTGGTGCGTTTGGGCGTCACATGTAACTGGAAATGTTTCTTCTGTTAGGTTCTATAGTGACTTTTTTCGTAGTCATTTGCATATTTTAGTATTATGCCCCCAAAATCAAATATCCCCTACTTTTTTTGAATAGTATATTTAACACTCTAACTTAACACTATAAGTTAATGGAGAGAGAGAGAGAGAGAGAGAGAGAGAGAGAGAGGCAGAGAGAGAGAGAGTTTAACCTACTCAACAGAAACTAGGTCATTTCGGGACTAATAATTAGAAAATGAATGGAGGCCATTATGGCTGCTAGAGTTTTATAGCACCAGCTAGCTTCTATCAGTTAAGAAATTAATCAGACAAATTAATTACTCGACACCACTCGGGGAAAGCCAACAGTTGTAAACCCAACACTCATTATCTAATCTAGACAGACCATTTTAAACTATGCAACCGTAGGAACCCAACAATGATTTGAAACAGACCATTAAATACATCAACTCCCACTAACTTCTATTACCACCAGTTGGCTCCAATCAGTGACAGTTGACTTCTACCAGCACCAGTTAGCTTCCATTGCCATCAGTTGGCTTCTATCACCACCAGTTGGCTTCTATCACCACCAGTTGGCTTCCATCGCCATCAGTTAGTTTCCATCACCAGTTAGCTTCCATCACAACTAGTTAGCTTCTATCACCACCAGTTGATTTCAATCGGTAACAGTTAACTTCTACCACCACCAGTTACCTTCTATCACCATCAATTAGCTTCCACCACAATCAGTTAGCTTCCATCACCACCAGTTAGCTTCCATCACCACCAGTTAGCTTCCATCACCACCAGTTGGCTTCCATCGCCACCAGTTCGCTTCTATCGCCACCAGTTCACTTCTATCGGCACCAGTCGGCTTCCATCACCACCAGTTGGCTTCCATCACCGCCAGTCGGCTTCTATCACCACCAGTTAGCTTCCATCACCACCAGTCGGCTACTATCACTACCAGTTAGCTTCCATCACCACTAGTTAGCGTCTATCAGCATCAGTCAACTTCTATCACCACCAGTTAGCTTCTATCACCACTGTTAGTCACAAAGTGAATGTACATATATTTGTTTTATATTTCTTTAAACCCAGCTGGCTAAAGTTATGTTTTACAGCAAAATTATTGGGCATTGTCAATTACCAATCCATTGGTGGAACCAATGACAATACGCCCGTACCCCCCCCCCCCCCCAAAAAAACCCAAGTGCAACCAAGAAAATTTGCAACTAAATAAACGGCCCTATATTTTTTTTCAAATTGTCCAGGGTCTGAAAGTAGGTTTCTTCATTTCATGAACATAAATCGTGCATATCAATTTCATTTCACATTTCACATGTGGGTGTATAAAAGCAGATTTCATGATTCTCTTGATTTGAACCAGTACCCTCCCCCCTCACTGATTTGTCTGTATACCTGCTCTCCGCCACCCCCACCCCTTCACTGATTTGTACCAGTATCCCCCTCTCTCCCTTTGTAGCAGCACCTATTCTTAAAGAGAGAGAGAGAGAAATAGGGTTTAACGTCCACTCGACACAAACCAGGTCATTTCGGGACTAACATATGGTTTAATTTTATTTCAATAATTCGCTTGTGCGTAGGGGTCTTTGACACGTACAACCGGGGAATCGAAACCACGCCAGTTGACTCAATGACAGACTTTATGATACAGTGCGCGCTCGTGCTAACCATTCAGCCCCCCCCGCACCTATTGAAATGTATACAAAAAACATGTAAACTGATTAATAACCATGGTTTTTGTTGATCGATGTTGGTCAAGAAAATGAGGCTTATCATCTTGATCTAGTGGTTTTTAAGACAATGTGAAAACAAAAGAAGTACCATACCAATATATCATTAGTTGTACAGCCCTTCAAGCTATAATTATTCCATAAATACATTCATATACACTGTAACCTGGGTATCATTTAATCTTGGGTATCTAGCACCAATTTCTTTCATATTCGTTTAATCTTTGTTTAAAACTTTGTAAAAATCATTTAAAATCACCTAAAATCAAGTAATTTGTACTTGTGTCCAGTTTAAAGCCGACTGATTAATTTTGATAATGAGTGTCCAATTTACAAGTATTTAAAAGTGATTGAGAAATTAAACGCTTATAAATTGGACATTCATTATCAAAATTAATCAGTCAGCTTTAAACTGGACACAAGTACAAATTGGGATGATTTTTGGTGATTTTAAACGATTTTAAAACAATTTTTAAACAAAGAATTGATGTTAAACAAATGTGAAAGAAATTAGCGCTAAATACACAAGATTAAATGATACCCGGGTTATAGTGATGGCTGTTGACAATATACCCCAAGGTTGAAATTCCATTCTCTGAGAATATTCAGAGGAACATTTGAACTAGCCAGATCTTTTTGATCGATGTGACAAGATTAAATTTTCATTTTTGAAAAAATCAAATAGATAGACACAAAACGTGAATATACACACACAGTCGCTAATCTGAAAGTAAAACTTAGATGTTGTCCAAATTAGATATGGCTCATGCCTTCCAGAAATCTGATCTTGTGTTGGACGGACGGTTGTGGAATGCTGAATATCGATAGGGTTCATTTCCTCATGGCCACAATGTTTCACACCAAATTTGAAAAATCTTTATAAAAATCTCTAACCATTTGTTAACGGAGGGACAGATGGACAGGGTGACGACTACATATACGCGCAAACTATGAGCGTATATAAAATATGCTTACTGACTGTCGAAGATCTTAAATCCTCTTTAAAATCATTTGTACCTGTTTTGAGTTATGACTTCAGTTCTTCAAAAAATGCAATTCACACACAGCCATGAAAAATTGTAGCCTGTAGACACAGTACAAGACAAATGTGCAAGGATTGACAGACGGGTGTATAAAAATGTAATTCACATAACTCTTAGTACATATCATCAAACATAACATGAATTTATTTCTTTGAACAATAAAATGATTTCATTAATAAAAACAATCAACATATTTATATCACAGTAATGTCATAACACCAGAAAATAATGTGTTGTTAATATAAATAAACGTCTTAAATGGCATTGACATACACTGTATCCAGTATATTGTTTGATCTTGCGTCTTTAGCCTTAGGAAATTCCTTTCACATTCAGTTTAAAGCTGGCCATTCAATTTTGATAACGAGTGTTCAATTTACA